AGGCAAGGCCACCACTTAGGACCCCCACATCCCCTATCAGAGCGCAGGTTTAGGTCTCAGCTACTCCGCTTTTGATCGGCTCCCTGCTAATGCACCTGGGAAGCAGATGACGGCTCAAGTCCTTGGGTCCCCACCACCCACACAGGAGTTCCTGGCTCCTGCCTTCAGCCTGGCCCAGCTTGCAACTGTTGCAGCCTCTTGGGGAATAAGCCAGAAGACCTCTCTGTGTGTCCCTCTCTCTGTCACACTACCTTCCAAATGAATACATTTTTAAGTGCACTTGAAATGTGTATTATGAAAAATTATGCATAGATTTCAAAAATTTCTCACAACAAAATAAATGTACCCCTTGGGTCCATCTCCCATGAACTTTTTCAAGTGCCTTCATAGACTTGGGTAGTCAGGGAGACGCAAATGGAAAAGCACAGTGAGTTATCACCACACACCTACCAGAACGGCTAAGATGAGACAGACTCATGATTCTAAGAGCTGGTCATTCTGTAGAACAGCCAGAACGCTAATTCCTTGTTGTTGTTGTTGTTTTTTAAAGACTTACTTATTTATTTCAAAGTCAGAGTTAGAGAGAGAGAGGAGAGAGAGAGAGGTCTTCCATCTGTTGGCTCACTCCCTAATTGGCTGCAATGGCTGAAGCTGCACCCATCTGAAGCCAGGAGCCTGGAGCTTCTTCTGGGCCTCCCACGTGGGTGCACGGACCCAAAGACTTGGGCCATCTTCTGCTGCTTTCTCAGGCCATAGCAAAGAGCTGGATTGGAAGAGGAGCAGCCGGGACTAGAACCGCTGCCCAAATGGGATGCTGGCGCCTTAATCCACTGCGCCCCTCTAATTCCTTGTTGATAGGAACGTAAAACAGTTACTGCTTTAGAATAACATCTACGCATGCGTGTGTACCTGCCCTTCCAACCCAGCAATTCCAATCTCAAGTGTTTACCCGTGAGAAAGGAACACATATATCTACAAAAAGACGGGTGTAAGAATACACACAGCAGCTTCATTCGTTATATCCCCAAACGGAGAACAGACAATCTGCTGTATTCACAGGATGGAGGCGTTACCCAATAGTAACACGGCATGAACTACTGATACAGCAACAACACGGATCGCAGAAGGATTACGCTGGCTGAAAGAAGCCTTTCACCAAAGGCTGTGCATACATTGGCAGAGCAAACCTGTGGTGGGGAAACATGAAAACCACAATTGTCTCTGGGGCAGACGGGGCAGGGACTGACTGGGAGGGAGGACCAGGCGATGACCCTGCGGTGACCTCTCTGGCGGACGACTGTGCTCTCTCGCGGTAAGGATTTGTTTCACCGGTGTAGGCGTGTGCCAAAATCCGGCGAATGCTCACCTAGAAACTGTGTATTGCACTGCATGCAAGTTTTGCAGTGAGAGAAAGGAAACTAAATATCTCTGACTCATGCCACATACGTATTTGGGAGAATGTGTTTGAAATGCTCAAAAATTAGGTGGATTATTCACAAACAGATGAGTGGATTAGACTGTGACAAAGCAAGTATGATAAAATGTTAAGGTTAAATCTAAGTGATGAGTACATGGGGGAATCACCATGTTTTCAACTTCATGTACATTTGGAAATTTCCAATAATAAAATGAGTGTCGCTCCCCCTCTTCGTGGAGGAGCAACACAGGACCCTGTGCTGTTCTTTCGTCTGCTCGGCCCTCCCCGGGTTTGCTGCTGGTTCTTCCCGGGTTGGCTACTATCCCTTCCACCTCCGTGGAAGGGCAGTTCCCCCTGGCCACATTCCCCACTTCCGCAGGGGAGTGGCACACCGCCGGCCGGCTTTCTCGGGGGCTGCACGGGTTCCCTTAGATGTTCCCCATAGATGTTCCTGGTGCGTGCCGTCTCTCTCCTCCTTTATAGTCCTCCTCCGCCAATCCCAACTCGGCTGCCCACACGCCGAGTACGCTGCTCTCCAATCAGGAGCAAGTCCTACAGTTAATTGGTTGAACTGGAGGCAGCTGCGCGGAAACTGTTTACTTCTCTCCCAGAGCCATATTGTGGGAGAGCAGATGCATAGAATAAGTCTTAATTCCAGTAACTTAGTCCAGTCCGGATTGCTCCCCACAGATCCCCCTTTCTTTTTATTTTTGGCGTTGATACGCGCCTGTCTTCGGTGTCCCGCGGCACACACTCTGCTCTACTTGCTAGAGTTGCCACAGGCTCTTACAAGTCCTATCAATCAGGCAAACCGAATCCGGGTCCTCTCTTCGCCATGTTGTGAGGAGGTTTTTAGGCGCTGATGCGTGCCTGTGTTCGGTGCCCTGCAGCGCATGCTCTGCTCTGCCCGCAGGGGCTTACAAAACCTATCAGGCAAAACCGAATCCAAAGCCTTCTCATTGCCGTTATTTGTGGAGGGGAGACTTATTAGTGTTGGTTTGTGCCTATCTTTCGGGGGACCTGCAGCTCATGCTTTGGTCGAGCTGGCTTGCTGGTGTTTACCCGCCCTTAAATCAGGGCAGACCGAAACCCAAGCCTCCTAAATTGTTGCATTGTGGGGAAAGCCTTACTGATGTTAATTCCGTGCCTGTCTTTCGGTGAACCTGTGGGCGCATAAGCCTGCTAGCCGCCCAGGGGGTTCATCGCCTTCACTAATCCGGGCAGACCGAATCCAAAGCTTTTCTCATTTGCCATGGTTGAGGGGGAGGCCTTTATTTTTTCTTCTATTTCTCCTATTCTCCGGGGCCATTCCTATTTTCCTCCCCATTTTAACTTCTGTCCTTCCAAGCAATTCCATATTTTCTCCTCATCTTAACTTTCTAAAACTTCCTGTTTTCTCTTATCCCCGCAGCTTTCCCGGCTGCCCGGCCCCAAGGCTAACTTTCTCGGCA